AAGCCCTGAGCAAACGTTTCTTTGGAAATGCCTCCTAAAAAAGTTAGGTAAGCCTGAGCAAAACAAACACATCTCCTACGCAGACAGAGTTCTTGGTCACATACCTCTTAACACCTTAAATGTGGCTGAGTTTACCCATGTGAGCAGCCTCAGTGATTTCAAGGGTACCACAACCACACACAGATTACCCACACCATAAACACACGCGGACTAAGAGGGGTTTACTGGCTACTCGCAGTACTGTAGCGCAGCAGGTTAGGAAGCAGGCTGCGCTGCGGCACCGTACCCGCTGGAAGTCAACACAGAAGGGACAAGTTTACCGATGGTCCAATTTCTATGTTTTCTTCAGATAGTAACAAGCAGATCAAAGTATATGCGTTAGGCACAACGCCCATTTCTCTGACTATTGAACAAGACCTGTTCCAAATAGGTGAAATAAGTCACTTTCTTATATTACGCACGTTTTAAAGTGACAAAACACTTCCTGTTACCTGGGAAACAGATGCTTAGCGACTAAACTTTGGTTACACAGTACTAAAGAAGAGAGAAAAAAATCTGTAAATCTAGAAAGCCATAAAGCGGCATGAGTGACCTATTCAGCCCGCATCCCCTACATAAGCATGAGGTGCATCTCAGGCTCCCCCATTCAGATAGACCAGAATCAAAGCCACAGAAGAAGAAAACCAACACACGTACCAGGGAGCTTCAGTGACTTACGCTGCAGGCCTGCCTACACAAAGTAATCCTTTAGTTCAATCCAAATGGAAGACTCCTCAGACAAGTCCCTTTGAAGGGAATACACTATCACCACCAGTTCTACCCAGAAACTACCCATGATATACTTTTACTAAGAATGGCAGCTGGCAACAGTTTCATTTATATTCTTTCATCTACCTCATTCATCCATCATCTGTTCTGCAGCTGGGGTCTCAGGAAGTGAGCAGAAAATTGAACACACACAAAAATTTAAGCTTCAACAACAGTGACAGATAAGGACAAAGAAATTCTTTCAAAAATACACAGCTTTTTACTGATGCATTTTTAAAGACTGGAGCAGACAAGTTTTTTCTAGAGAGTTCTTATAATTGCACATATCTCAAGCAACCGAATTTTGCTTTTTTTATTATTCATTGTTTATCAAGATTGTTAACTGTTACTTACAGCAGATATATTTCCACATCACTATAACTTGCTTCTCCTTTCTAAAAAATTTGGGTTCAGAGTGATCCATGTGGCTGCTACAGTGCGTACCTCACTCATTAAGAGAAAATGTTCTTTAGTTACCAGAAGAAAAAACGAAAATGAAATATCAGTGTAAAAGCCTGGTCCATTACACACTGAAACTCTAATTGTTTAAACGTAAGGAGAAAGTGTTATTTCACAATACCATTTGCGTATCAAAAAACCACTCCAGGAATTCCTGATTATACACATGGGACTTGCCAGCACAGCTCAGTTCTTACTACTCAAGGACTGCTCCAAGGCACCTCCCCAGGCAACTTCTTCATTTGATGGGAAGTCATCGACGCACTGCAGGAGAACTGCAAACGCATTTCCTTGCTAGATCTTTGGTCCGTCCATACTTTATGAGAGGGAGTCATGAAGGAAAAGCATGTGATTTCAGTGAGATTATTTTCAAAGCTTCAAAGGAAGAGTGGATTTAAAAAAAATACAACTGCAAATCTGCAAAAATGTGCCTGAATTCATAGCCTTTTCATAGAGTCATAGAATGCTTGGGGATGGAAGGGACCTTAAAGGCCATCTAGTCCATCCTCCCTGCAATGGGCAGGGACATCTACAACTAGATCAGGCTGCTCAGAGCCCCATCCAGCCTGGCCTTGAATGTTTCCAAGGATGGGGCATCTACCACCTCTCTGGGCAACCTGTTCCAGTGTTTCACTACCCTCATGGTAAAAAATTTCTTCCTTATATCTAGTCTGAAATTTTCCATTACCCTTTTCGAAACCAGTTTCGAAACCTCAAGTTTCCAACTCCAAACTGATCAGGTACGTCATAAGTTTACAAACCTAGTGATGCAATAGGCCATCATTGCTTAAGGTTTTATAATTCAAAGACTTCTTTATCTACTGGGGGTGGGAGGAAAGCATGCCTTACTATGAAATAACCCACCATACTTCTGACGTGAATCTTTATAGCCATTATTATCTAATCACATATCAGCAACTCAACGGTGACAAATGATGCTCCCTTCATATACATATTGAACAAGCAATCAAACCTTTACTACTTTGATTTGGGTAACTATGGTATTCCCAATTACATCCCAAAGCCAAAAGAGATCAACATGAACTTCATGAGAAACAGATAAGCAAGAAAGCCATGTGTCTGAAGCTGTATGTAGTAGCATGTTTTAAAAGATTTAAATAGCTCCCTGTGAAAACAGGGATTTGGTGACTCAGGAACTCTGATTCACCCACGTCCTCCCAGTTCTCTCCACGACTATAAGAAAGTAAACTATGACATTTCTGTACACTGTATGCCTCCCAACAGGTTTATTTAACTGCTCCAACAGGTATACTGATGGGAAGGACGGAGACTACACCCACCTGCTCAGCAAGGTCAGGAGAAAGCTGCAGCTCTGCTTTGCCATAAGATAAGGAACACAACACAGGAAGGTGCTTTGTGTCCACACTACTCCCTGCAAGAACACTAGGCCTTTGCAATGACCTTGCTCTACATTAGTGTCTCTACCATCCCTTAATAAAACCACTGCAGTAAACTTCTTTTAGAGGGTTTCCAGTATTTGGTTTAGGTAATTCATACGAACACTAAGAATGACTTAAGTTGCAACAGCAAATACTAATGACTAATAATGAAAGATAGGAACTTTTTTCAGAAATACTACAGGATTTCTGCTTCACAATTTTAACCACTTCCTATCAGTTGAAGGTTGGAAGGATGTTTTGGTGTCATCAAGTGATTACACCATAAGGTTATCTGCAATTTCTTCAAAGGTAGAAGTATCAGAGACTGTCAGAAAGATGACAATGTACTAGAAGACCCTGACAAAGGGTTTTCCACCATTTCTCTCCTTGAAGGAAAGGAATAAAGAGGGGCAAAATGAGAATGATACAACGTTAGTTCAAACAAACTAGTATGTCTTAACTTGAAGAGACAGCAGCACACTTCTGCTCACAAATTTTAGTCACAATTTCTTGCTTTCTCAAGTGTATCTTATACTTCAGCAGGTATCAGTAATTAAAAAAAAAATATATGTAATGGTATAGTTCTACAGTTAAATTAAGCCAATCTAAGACTGTATTGTCACCAAATAGGATGGGCCCATATTAAACATAGTTGTGCCAGAAAGTACCTATACTAGCAAGCACGTCCAACTCCGGGCAAAGTTTTTTGGAATAGCTAAGGCAATGTAAAAGCTCCCTGCTGCCTCAGGGGAGGTCTCACTCCCCACCGCCTTCCTCTAGCTGTGCTTCTGGCAGTGAAGTTTCCTCTTCCTCCTCCCCATAAGCGTTAGTAGGTTTCACAGCCCTTGCAACGCTGACTCAGCTCACTAACCTAGCAGAAAACCATCCAGTCTCTTCTGCCAGGGCAGCTAGCTCATTGAAGGATCCAATAATACAAGTCACGGTCACCAGAAAAACCCGCGGCAGAAGCAGCCAAGCTGGCAGCAGAGACAGGAGCAAAGGAGGGAAGAACAAGAACTCCGACTTCTGCCAGGGGTAAGCCATTCAAACCTTCTTCTCCAACTTCCTCCACATCCCAGAACCACACGATTGCTAAAGCTGACGCAAAGAGGAGGCATGAACACACAGCCAGAGACCAGAGGAAGAGCAGGACGACTTCCCTCCGCAGCCAGAGCTCACCCAGCCTGTGCCAACCACAGAGCCACAGGCGCTCCAAACACAGGCTCAGCACAGGACAGGAGGGGCACAGCAGTGACACATCACATCAAGTCACAGAGCTGTTTGCCTCTCCATCAGCTAGCAGGGTGATACCAGGCACGGAAAGTGGGCCTATGTGCACAGACCAGCCACGCATCCAACAGCGAGGCAGCATTATGTCGAGTAGATACAATGGTGCAAAGTATATATTTAGAACGGATAAAAGCATCGGGAAAGATGAAGGGGAAAGCGGCCCGACATAAGCAGAAGTAAGCCTACAGCAGTGACAGACAAGCGGTCACTCGAGTGGGGAAAAACAAAAAAGTACATGCCTTGGTCTGACAACAGGAAGTAAGAGCTTGTACACCGAGCCTGGTTAGCACTGGCACCCCAACAGCGGGCAGACCGAGCATGGACGCATGCAGCAGACGCAGGCGGGAGACACGGGGAGCTGAAGCGTTAAGCGCAGCTCTGAAGAATCGGAGATGGACCACCGGGGAGTTCCCGCTCCTGAGCCTGGGCAGGCATTGCTTCGGCTGCTGAGCGTTTCCCTTCGCGCCCCCGCATCTGCCCAAGGGCGGGCAACCCCCGCAGCGTTCGCTGCAGACTGGGCCGCCTCCACACGAGCCCCAGGCCCCGCGCGTTGCCCACCCGGCCGCGCACCACGCGGGCTGGCCCCTTTCCTCGCACCTCCCGCCTCCTCCTCCTCCCCAGAGCCCCCCCCAGCCCAGCCCCTCGGCCCACAGAGCCCCACGACAGCCCCTTCCTCGCATGGGGCCCCGACCTCCCTACGCAGCCCCTCACGGCCACCCGCTCCGCACACGCTGCCCTGCCACCCCGCGTCCCCCGGTCCCTGCCCCTCGCCTGTCCCGCGCAACCACCTCCCCACAACAGCCCCGGCCCCGGCCTCCGCTCTCCTCAGAGCCGGCTGCCCACAGCTCGCCGCCACCTACCACCCTCCGGGGCCCTCGCAGCCCGGCCCGCACCAGCAGCCCCTTCCCCACCCGGCTGCGCGGCCTGTCACCCCGCAGACACCCGGCCCCGCTTCCTGCCCCCCTGCGCGGCCCCCAGCACCCTGCCGCTCCACCGCGGCCTGTCCCCCCGCACGACCCCGGCCCGGCCCCTTCCCGGCGGCACCTGAAGCGCGGCGAGTCCTTCAGGCACTCCTCGAAGTCCACGGTCACCTTCATCCTCCCCTGCCGCGGGGCGCGCCGCTGCCTCCACTGCTGCCGCTGCTGCTGCCGGCGGGGGAACGCCTCTGCCCGCCTCCCGCTCCCAATCGCGACTGACGGCCCGGCCAGCCAATAGGCGGCAGCCAGCAGCAGAAACAGCCAATAAGATGCCAGCGTAGGCGGGGCTTCCCCTAAATCGGCGTAGGGCGGGGAAAGGGCAGCCAGTCCATCCACGGCGCCGGCTGAGGGTGCGGCGGCAGGAGCAGGGGAGCGCTCTGACCAATCACAAGGCGAGGAGGGAGGGCATAACAATAAGTGAGCCACTCAGAGGAGGCAGCCAACCGCCGGGCGCCGTAGGGATTACTTCCTCATCGAGCGTCCCAAAGAGTGACAGCCTGGCAAGCCAACGGGAAAACCGCCTTTGGCTTCCCACCAATTGGCAAGCTCCATTGCCACGGCTACCCGGAAGACCAATCCCCGCGCTCATAAACGCTGAGGGGGGCGCCCCCGCGC